GCAGTTAAAATTGAACTCATACAGGCAAGCAGCTGAGTGGCCCAGCTCACTTGAACTTGAATCAACCACTGGATTCAGACTTAAAGTATAGGATAAAATCACTGTGAATTCAGGTTGTGTGAGATTGGCAGCTGTACATTTTGTAGAGCTTTAAATTTTTTTATCAACTAATCGGTTACTATTAAGATGCTAGTGATACTGCAAGTTTAGTAACTGCTGGTGTTTTTGACTTCAGTGTTTGTGTGATTTAATTTTCTCTGTTGTTTGCTCAACTTATGTGACATACAAAGTTATAAATGAAAGCAAAATTATCCTTGTCTGGTCATTGCAGAGGTGTTTTTTTTACTTTGAGTCACTACTGACTAACATAAGACATGTGGTACATAGATGACGCCAGACTCGAACAGAGCATCAGATGTTTTTCTAGTAACTTGCACAATAAGTATTGGTTTTACTGAGGCGAAACATCAAGAAATGCTCCATAACTGTGGTAAGATACCACACACCAGTGAGTCATTGTTTTGTTGCTTTAACCTCTCAGGCTGACCAGGTCAGTGGAAGAACAAGACTCCTGATACTCATGTAATCTAGTCATCCCAAAATAAAGCCTTATATGATCTGGAACTTTTTTGCCTCCAGAACTAAAAGGGTGTAATGATGGCACGGTTGGTCGGTCGGTCCATCCATCCAGCATGTTGGTTCAGAAACAAGATGTGGTGAGATTACCTCTGATCTGACTGAAACTAAATTTAGTGTGAGTTTTTGAGGGTGATTCCTAATGTTTTCTCACCCATGTAATCTCTGGAGCAACACCTTAGTGCATGAAAAGGTATCTCGAAACCTAATTGCTGGTGTATAATGAATTGCAGCCTCCAGGGTCCATTAGCAGGGTTTAAAGGAGTTGAGGAGCATAGGTTACAGCACATATGTCCCATTTTCAGTGGCATGCTTTATCTTGTTATCATTTTAATTCACAAGCAGACTTCAATCGAAGTTGTGCTTGAGACTGGTTCTTGTTATGGTGGGAAAAACTGTGATCATTTGTGCCTGGATGTATGCAGAGACACTTTTGCAGGTTATTTGTGCTGTATGCTTCCCTCTCTTATCCGATTAGAACAGCTTGTGTGTGTGTGTGTGTGTGTGTGTGTGTGTGTGTGTGTGTGTGTGGCACTGCTATCTGGAGACAGCTGTGCTCATGGGCTGCTCTCACTGGTGGAGTAGTATCCAGGCGTAGGCGGCTGGGAGGTGATACATTCCAAATCTGGAGGTCATAAAACATTCTACATAAAAATAGAAAGCCTCCAATTTCCACTTTTTATGCTGTGTGTGTGTGTAGTCTTTCTGTGTCTCTCAATACACACTGCACTTCTTTTGCAAACAGCTAAGGATTTAATTTTAGTTCTGCCTTTTTCTAAAGATATTTCTTTTCTATAGTTTCCTATGCACCACCACTGGTGAAACAGAAAGCATATATGCATGCAAAATGTCTTGTTACTTGAAGGGAAATAAGCAAGGAAAAGTGAGAGGATTAAGTCTCAACATTTGCCACATTTGGCTCAGATTACCATCTTCCTCCTCAGCCGTGTATGTGGAGGGAGGGAGGTCGCTCTAGAAAAAACCTTGAGAAGAAACAAGGAGCAGATAGGAGGTGGAGAAAGGAGGGTTAGTGGGCAGAAGGGAAGAGGGAGAAAAGGAGACGGAGAGAGACGTAAAATGTGTGTGAGAGAGTGATTTCCTGTAAAGTCTTTCTACAGGGAGACAACAAAATGAGAAAAGCCCACTTTAACCTCCAGTTATTTGGGAGTAAAGCTAAACCGACAGACCACACTGCTTTGACGACATGCCCAAAACTACAATTTACTTTCCATTTCCTCAACAAGTACACACCGCACGCATTCAAGCATATCTTTTTTTTTTTTTTTTAAGTATTTATTTTTGCATAAATATTTTTGTATTGTTTAGAAAGGAAAACTGGGAATGTTTTTCAGTTTAATTCTTTGTTGTTTACTTGTGCTGCTGCTTGTGTCAGCACTGTATCCCATGGGACACAGGCAGTGTTTGTTTTCAATGTGTTTCTCTGGCTGTCCCATTAGTTTATTGTTTCAGGGCCTACATGGTATTTAATGGGGATCCATATGAATGTAAATATGTTGCAAAATGGGAGTGTTTGTAGAATACAATGTGAGAACTTGTGGAACAAAAATCTAAACTTGTGTTTAAATTTGGGAGTGGGCTGGATGTGACTGCACTTTACTTTGAAGCCTCAATGTAAGTCTTACCGTGGTTTGTGTTTATTTACTTTAAACACACTTTCTTATTTACAGTTCACATGTGTTTTTTTTGTGACTTCAAATTCTGCTTAAATCTGTGTCTGAATATTTTGTACAGGACAAATTTAATATTTATATTTACCTTCATATCGACCTGCCTCTAGGCCTCTTTGTGTATTTTTGTGTCTGTGCTCATGTGCAGGGGAGAGAGACTGATGAATATGCTGATATGCATTAAGCTGGTTGTTTTTGTGCCATAAAACACAAGGTGCTGCAATGACATGCTCCATTTCAGTTGATTTGTTGGCTGTAACGGGGAGCAGCTGTATCTAGTCTTGTGGTGCTTCCACAGGATGTGATCTCATGTTTACACACACACACACACACACACACACACACACACACACACACACGTGTTCATTCATTCTGTACACAGCTCATCTTAGTTTCCTGTCCATACCTTGACCTTGATTAATTTTGTCTTAGCTGCTGCGATACGTACTACAAAGTCAGTTTAATATCTGGTAAAAGGAACTTTATTCTGAGATGCACAAACTGACCTAACAATAAATAAGGATGACTGGGTTTAGCAGTTTGCATCCCTGACTGTGTGATCCACAAACAGTTGAAACTAAAGGGATAGTTTTTTTTGTTGTTGTTGTTGTTTTTTTTACTGAGATAATGTTTTAATGTTTTTTCAGTTATTTTCTGGTGCCAACATTGATGCATGTGAGCTGTGACTTCCATTATCAGAGGTAAACACAACAAGATGAGGGTGTGGCACTTTATATACACACACACACACACACACACACACACACACACACACACACACACACACACACACACACACACACACACACACACACACACACACACACACAGGCTAGAAACTTCCAACTGCATTAGAACAAATAGGACAGTTGATATGGATTCTTAAAATAGGATTCTTATAAAAATACAGGCTCTTCATTTATTTCACTGGGACTGTTGTATTGGCACAGGGATCTCCATCAGGAGCTTTGAACCTGGCTCATCTTTAGTTGCAGTGCAGTTCAACATCATCCTAATAGAATACCTTATAGAATTTATTATGCAGCATTGTGCTAATTGCATAAATGCCAAGAAAACAAAATCATAATGCATCAAATGAGTTAAAAGGATTGTGGTGGTTAGTTTATCTGTGCCAACTGCGTAACCACTAGAAAAGATGCCACGAGAGAGATCGCCAAAACTACAAAATTTTAAAGTCTGAGTTTAAAGTTTTTGTGATGTGTAATATGATGGCACTTATTCCACTGCCGAGCTCTCCTGTAGCTGAAAGAAAATTGACAGAGCTGAGAGTTGTTATCAAGCTTGAAAGATGCTAAAGATTGTCTGGTGTTACATGTGTGCATTGTTGAATTTGTAAAATGGTTAAGTGCCTTAGGAGGTACTTGAAAATATGCATTGGTGCAAATTACATCCACTAACTGCCAGGCTACAGCATGAAGTAGAGCGTTCAGCAAAGGACATATGTTGGAAGTAGAGCAATGCAACATGATGCAATGTGCTCTGTTTTGTGTCGAGTGAGCTTGTGGACTGAGAAACTATTATACACAATTCTGTGGTTGAACTGTGAAGTCTTGCATTGTGAGCTGGCAGGCCAAAAGTGCGGTTAATAATCAGTGATAGTAAAGCTTTATCGTGACTGTAACATTATGTGATATGTGCGAAAGAATGCAAAAAGAAGAACTTACGTCATGTAGTCTGAATGTAGATCAGCAGCAACTTTACTTATAGATAAATCATAGATTTTGTTTAATTAACCACATAAATGCCTGATAGTCTGGTTCCAGCTTTTTAAAAGTTGTATTTCATTTTAAATTAAACACCTTTTTAGTTTTGGACTGCTGGTCTGACAAAACAAGAAGACGTTGCCTTGGGATAACTAACTTACTTACTTATATAATTAAATGATCAAAAAGGAAAAAATGAAAAATTATTTTTTGTTGCATCCTTAACACTTTTTGTGACTTTCATGTACACAAACTGACCCAGTTACCTCAGTTAAACTAAGGCTGGGCCTGGAGGAAGCGTAACGAAATTAAAACCAAATTAACAGATGTTGTGTTTTGGTTCAGTTCTCGACCCAGAATGGAGAATATCACTTCTGTGTTGAATAAGTAAATTTATCAATGCCAAAACAAACACAAGAGTCCCTGTATATGTTTGAATGTTTTTATTGTGTAGCAGGAATAAGATGTTTTCTGTAGACTAACATTAACCTGGACTTCTTGAGGAACTGGTATGAAGAGCTGATCGAAAGTGTCAGCTTTTAGACTTCTTATTTACAAAGCAGTGTGTGTTTGTCATTAACTCTTGGCTCTGGACCCCATCAGCCTTAGGGAGGGAACTTTTGATTAGTATTCCTTAAAGCTGAATCTTCAACAGTTTGTAATGATGACTCATTATCTTATGATCTGTTTGGTCTTGTGATGGCCTGCTGAGTGCTATCCTAGTTTCACCACATTAAAACACTACTCGTCTCTTCCACACAAACATAAAGGCCTTTTGATAGGTCTCCTTGGGACTTGGCTAGAAACAAGGACTTGTGCATGTCACAAGGGTTGGAAGTGATCTCTCTGGAAAGTGGGCGTGTGTTTTGCGTGGAGCAGACATGCTATTACAAACACAAACACTCACCTGGGTAAATGTTTCTCAAACTTAAAATAAACACTGACATGGATCTGACACATTAAATGTGGTTTATTAAACACACAATTTTAAACATTACAGAAAGAATACTAAACAACAGTGCAGGATTTCCTCAATAGACCATAGATCCTTAACTTATCTGTTTCATTTTTCCATTGGAGTCATTTACATTCTCTTCATCTCTATCAGACACAGGATTTAATTTAATTATCAGTGAGTCACTACCATTAGATGTGCTGGAGCATGACATTGTGCTGCATGAATAAAGCCTTGAGCTTTATGACCATGCCAGAGCAGTGCATTATGATATACAAAAAGAGCCATTTAGAGAGCTTTAGAGCTTTTATTAACGAACAGCAATTTTGTAAATAGCTATAAAGCTCCAAATGTCCAGCTGTGTAATCATAAAACTTAAAACTGCCATGTTGTTTTTGATCTTGTTTTGTAATTTTTCCAGGCAGGTAAGATTGATTCAAATGTTGTTTACAGCAAATGTCAGAGTCTGTAGGTTTTCAGTCCAAGCAAACGCTATATCAATTATTAGACTGATGACTTCCTCATCTCTTGGTGAGGAAGATGTGCTGTTTTTTAGTCAGATCCTGTAGTCTGAAATTAAGATGACTGGCACGGCTGCACCAAAACCCTGACAACTCTGAGCACTTCATGACACACTGAGATGGGTGATTTAAGTTACCCACAAAAAAACCCCAATAAGTTGTTCTTTTTTTGTTTTTTTTGTTGTTTTTTTTTGTAAATACATACAGCAAAAACATAGGACAGATGGAGGACAGATGATTACCCCAATTACCTTTTTGTTGTTTGCATTGCATGAACAAGTAATGAGAGCTGAGGAGCGAGTGGTTGGCACATCACAATGGGACAGTACATTTTGTAAAATTACCTCAGAAAACCACCCTGCATAAATACAATATGAATGAGTGTTTGTGTAGCTTATGTTTAATTATGGATACGGGGCTGGTTGCTTGACTTGTATGAACAGGTCGAGCGGGTCTGATTTATCGGTTTATCTCTAGAGGAAAATGACACGGAGCACAAATAATTCTTTAACTTTTTTAAAACTCTCATGCTATTTGATTATGGACTGGGTAGACTCTAACTAAGAATAATGAGATCACTGGTTTGAACACTCTTTAATTTTATGAGAAATTATCATGCAAGGATAAATTCAAATTTGTAATGTGGCTGATAATTTACCTTTTTTTTTTTTTAAAAAAAATACATTTTGTAAAAAAGATTGTCTAGAGTGTATCTCTAGTAGTCTTCATCACCTCCAGCTTGGGGTGCTTACTTTAACTTCCTCATCCACGAGTATGAATCGTGCTTCGACTCCTGGGGAAATTGCCATACCTGAGTGATATTCATAGACGTCATAAGAGGAGTTCTCAACATCAGTGCTAGGTCTGAATTTGGTTGCCCATTGCCACTGCCACCATTCATAGTGACATGTGGCTTTATCTGCAGAGGTATAGAACCCAACCCAAGACTTGTTAAATTCTGACCTCCACTCACTGAAAGTCTTCTTAACGAATAAGCGAGCACAAGCCTTACCATCTTTTGCAAAGAGTTGGAGTTTTGCATTGTAGCCTGCTATATTGACTGCTTTGGGATTCTTAAACTCTGGTCCTCTGCATATCTCCTCTCCCACCCTTTTCCAGAAGCAGCACTCTATTCTCACCTTATGCAGCCGTACCTGAAGGCCTTCATTCAGGGGTACTGAGGTGTCACAACTACCTGATTCTCTGTTCCCAATGGACTCATAAATCCTGCTGGCTTCCTGGTCCTCATTGTTCTTGAAAAGCACTACCATCACTCCATTATTTAGACGATGTTTAGGAACGTTTCTCCAAACAATCCTGGCTTTTCCATTCCTGCTGGTCGTCACCTCAAGTTGTGCATCATCCCTCTCATCCTGCAGAAGTCTTGCAAAAATCCGTGAAGTGTCAACCTCCATGTGATTTTGTCTGATTTCTGGGATGTTGACAACAAAATCGGGTTGTAAATTTCTGCTCGATGCGCGCTGAGGTCTGTTATGTTTGTTAGAGGAGTACTTTTCCTGGATCACAATAAACACCAGCAGTCCAAGACTAGCAAGGTCACCCCATATGTTTCTGATGTCCCGTAAATGGGAATCATCAGCGTTACTTCCAAAGCGTTCTCTGAGCTCTGGCAGTGACTGTTGGTCTTCCCCCACAGAAAACTGCATGATCTCTCTCAAAAGATTGGTAGTGACCTGGTACGTATAGTCTGGATCATACCTTGTCCCCTGATTCTCAGAAGTCTCATAATGCTGTGTGATGTACACTCTGTCTATTCTCTGCAAAACTTGCCCTCTTGTGTTCTGCTCCCTGACTCTGAATATAATCCGGTCCCTGTTTCTTCCCTCATACCCTGCTGGGGGGTAGATGATATAAGATGGAAGTCGCATGGGTGAGTTTTGATGCAGGTTGCCAACAGTGTAGTACCGGTATCTCATATTTCCGTGAGGTAGTGGGTCCAGCAGCCTCTCATAGTTGCCATAATGATGCGAGCCATAATCTTCATTGTTTGGATCAAAGGTCAAGTATATGACATCGTTATTGTCGATATCAACAATGTTGGCAAACCAGTGGAGCAGCAGGAGACTGTGTGTGGGCACAGATAAGCCAAAGTTGATTTTCTTCAAATCATTGATTGAATTGAGCTTTTTCACAGCTGACACAGAGGTCAGGGTAAGGAACAGAGCTACACAGCAACTTGTGACTCTTCCTGACATCTTCATCATCCTGTAACAATATTGAATAAGTTACTGGCTGCATTATTCAATCCATACATGTATTTGTAATGAGGGATGGATCTAATGCTTATTGTCACGATTGATAAATCTGGTTTATAGATCAAAGGTAAAAATGTGAATAGTTATATGCAAATTGAAACAATAATGGTATTTTGACTTGATAAATAACAACCACTTAACGCCATAAATTATTTCATTATACAAATACATAACACAATTCCAAGGAAAGAAATTAAACAAAGTAGTTACATGTCTCAAGGCTAAAGGTGGATGTTGTTGGGGCTATGTGGATCTGTTGTTGAATTTGGAAATGCTACTGCGTGTTCCTCACTTCTATGTGAAAGAGTACACTTATGACACAACAAAGATTTCAGAGAAGACTGGCCAGGTTCAGAGTACTCCAACCAAATAAAGTCAACTGCATTGTGTCTAAGTATTATTTTCACCTTTTTCAAATAGTTTCTAAATAGAGAAATCTTTACAAAGCAGAGATCAGGAAAAAAGAGCACTCACCTGCGTTAGTCAGCTGCTGTTGGATGTCTGATCTCTGTGTTTGTGTGAGAGCAGTTGAAACTCCCTGTTGGTTTCCTTTTCCTTGTAAATGAAACTGGGGAAACTAGCATTGCTGGTGGTTACAGGAGTTTTGACACAGCTGTTTAGAAAGATTTATTGTTAAGTTTTGTTTTCCTTTTCTTTTTTGAGCAGGTTTAGATTTGAAACATGCCTGTGCAGGTCCAGGTTTGACAGTGACTGTGTCCTTTTACTGCAGCGTGAGGAGCTACAAGATCTGTAATAGAGGCTAGCTTATTATTAACTAGTATTTGCTTATCACAGATCAGTTTCAAATTACAGAACTTGATTCTTTTATTGCATGTATTTTTCTGTATATTTCTATACTTTTTTAATTTTTTTTTTTTTCTTGTACCTCAGTACATACAGTATGTGTCACAACTCTTGATAATCTAATTTGAGGTTTCATTGCCTAAAAGTAGTGAAATGTTGGGAAATTTATTCAGTTTTATTTTTTGCACCCCGTGGTGACAATATTGGCCTAATAAATGTGGTGAACTTTGCTTTTATTAGATGGATGCACAGTAAAATGGTCCAGAAATCAGGAGTGAGATAGTGTTGTTTTTGGCAACCTGTTTTAATTTTAGCTTTAGTCTAGTCTTTGTGTCAAGCTGTCATTTTAGTTTTTATTAGTTTTAGTCATGTTCATACTCTTTTTAGTGTAGTCAAGTTTTAGTTGACTAAAAGTCTGAGCATTTTAGTCTTATTTTAGTCAGAATCATCCATGACTATTTTAGTCTAGTTTTAGTCGACGAAAACTGATGACATTTTAGTCTAGTTTTAGTCAATGAAAATTTTATTTTAGTCTCTTTCTAGTAATGCAATTCTATTTAACCCAGTATAGTATAAGTACCTAGTAGTATAGACAAAACCAAAATTTTCTTTTAGCCAAACCCATTTCACAGTTCAAACAAGGTTATCTTATTATTATATTATTGTTACCTTATAGACTCAAGAATACATCCATTCCAGACACACAAGACGCTCTGATTTGAATTTACAACATATTTATTTTACCAACCAAACATGTTAGTACACACACACATATATTTAAATTAAATAAATAAATAAAATAGCATCACATGACAATGCAAAAAAAATTGAATACAGTCAAGTTTAACAAAGAGAAACAAGGTGCTTCAATGCTCGAGCATCAATAATATAATAAAAAGTGCAAATAACGTGTGTGTCTGTCTTGTATTGCTTGTAAACTGAAGACAGATTTTGCATCAAAAAAACTATTAAAAGATATTACACTACAAATGGTTTGGACCTTAGAAAGATATAATGGGATGGGAAGCACTGACTGCATACACTGGAATTCATTGACAGAAAACAGACAGTACTGAATTATGCCAACTACTGAACCAAATAACCAGCAGTCTCAACAGCAACTATATAAACTGTTACCTCCCGGATGTGTTTTTAAAACTGGTTGTTACACATACACCCGCGAGTGGGAATTGAGGAAGTGATGTCGCATGCCTCGGCGCAGTGCGACCTGATGAAGTGAGACACAGGAAACAGAAATACTGCAAAATAATAATAACTCGACTAAACGAGTCGAAATGACGTTATGACATTTCATCTCGTCTCGTTTTAGTCAACGAAAATGAAGAGACATTTTAGCAGAGTTTTTATTTTGTAAACCACATTTAGTCTTGTTTTTATTCGTCAACAATATTGCATTATATATTTAATTATAGTTATCGTCACATGACCAGCATTTACGTTGCGTCTCGTCTCGTTTTCGTCACGTGATAAAGGTTCGTTGACGAAGATATTTAGTCATAATTTTCGTTGACGAAAGCAACACTAGAGTGAGAAACAGGGATGACATACAATAAAAGGTCCCAGCTGGATTCAAACCCAAGTATGTGGTGGTTTTAGACCACTTGTTCACCAGCAAACCCAGTTTGTTCTATTGGAAGTTAATCAAATTTTTCCCCAATATATTTCCATTCATAAACAAATTTTGAGTTTTGGACTTTTGGCCAGGCAAAACAAGTTTGAAGATGTCACCTTGATGATAACATTTTTGCCATTATTACGATTGTTTCATTATTATATTATTTTACTTTTACTTATGATTAATTGATTAGTTAAAAACATAATTAAAATGATTACTCAATAAAGAAAGTAATGGCGAGTTGCTGCTCTAACTGAACTTGAATAAGTAAATTCATCAACACAAAGACCAACACAAGAGTTTCCCTCTGTATTTGAATTCTTCCTCACATTGACCTGGGCTTCTTGAGGAAATGGTATGAAGAGATGATCAAATGTGTCAGCTTTATAGACTTTATTTACAGACCAAACAAAGCAGTGTGTGGTATATAAATGCACCATTTTCAGCATTACAGAAAGAATACAAATCATGTAAAATACACTCCTGATTTTTTTTTTTTTTTTTAAATCCAAAAGCTAATATATAATTACAGAAGGTTGTTCTTAAGAGGCCATAGCACATTTCACTCATTTGTTTCATTTATACATCAGAGCTATTTAAATTCTCTTCATGTTTATCAGACACAGGATGAAGCAGCAATTAATCACTACTTTTAGATTAAATGTGCTGGAGCATGACATTGTTGCAAGAATAAAATCTGTAGGTTTATGATTGTACCAGAGCAGAATTTGTGAAGTTATTACCTAACTGCAGTTTTTTTAAATAGAAATATATAAAGCTCAAAATGTCCAGATGTGTTTTTGGCGAAATACAACCCCTTAGACCTCACCTCTAATAAAGCTTAAAACTGCCATGTTGTTTTAAAAAAAAATAAAAAAATAAAAATTCAAGATCCATTCAAACGTTATTTACAGCAGATGTCTCTTGAGGTCAGCTTCTGCAGGTTTTCAGTCAGAACAAACACTTCACCACCTTCAATCACTGATGACTCCTTCAGCTCTTGGTGAGGAAGATGTGCTGATCACTGAGTTTTTACTATGATCCTATAGTCTGATAAAGTTGGCTGACTGACTAGTCTGAACTGAAACCCTCAAGACTCCCAGCGCTTCATTGCAAACAGTTGTGATTTTTTTTAATATTTGGTCTTTCATCACAAGCATGTCATACTAAGCCTATATCTCAATATGAAGAAAATAAAGTACACAATTAATGCAACATATGGAGGCAAAACAAAGCATACAACAGAATAGTAGAACTACCCGTTGCCATCATCCAGGTCTACTGAGGTGTCATAAGTCTGATTCTCATTCATGTTAACTCCTGCTGGCTTCCATGTCTTCGTCATCATTGAAGAGCATTTCCATCACACTTTTGTGTAGGCAATATCTAGGAACTTGCTCTCCCTCATCTCTTGTCATCTTCTCATATCTGATGAAGAAATGACAATCATAACAACTAATAAAAATAAAATGACCCCGATATAAGTACAGATGTTTGTACAGATGTTTGAAGTATCAGCATTCCCATGATTTTGTCTGCTGCCAAAGAAATCAGTGTCTGTGTTTCTTCTTGCCGCCTGCTGAGGTCTGTAGTTGGATTGGTTCGAGTAGCGCCCTCTCTGGAGCACAATAAACAGCAGCAGTCCAAGACCAGCAAGTTGACCCCATGTGTTTCTTATGTCCTGTAATTGGAAGTCATTAGCGTTTCCTCCAAAGCGATCTCTGAGAAACATGAGTGACTGCCGATTTTCTACAGAAAACTCTCTGATTTCTCTTAAAAGGTTAGTCGTGATCTCGTAGGTATGATCTGGATCATATGTCCCCGGATGTTCAGGAGCCCCATAATGCTGTGTGAGGTACACTCTGTCTATCCTCTGCCATCCTGTGTTCTGATCCCTGACTCTGATTATGATCCGGTCCCTGTTTCTTCCCGCATACTCTGCCTTGGGATGGAGGACATAAGATGGAAGTCGCCTGGGCGAGTCTTGTTTGAGATTGCCAACAGTGTAGTACTGATGTCCGTAAGGCCGTTGTTCCAGCAGCCCCTCAAAGTTGCCATAATGATGTGAGCCATAATCTTCATTGTTTGGATCAAAGGTTAAATGTATGACATTGTTTCTGTCAATATCAACAATGTTGGCAAACCAGTAGAGCAGCAGGAGACTGTGTGTGGGCACAGATTGGCCAAAGTTGATTTCCCTCAAATCATTGATTGAATTGAGCTTTCTCACAGCTGACACAGAGGTCAGGGTAAGGAACAGAGCTACACAGCAACTTGTGACTCTTCTTGACATCTTCATCATCCTGTAACAATATTGAAAAAATCCTTAGTTGAATTTTCAATTTGTACTCTACATTCTCAATCCATACATTTATTAGTAATGAGGGATGCATCTAATTATTTTCATGATTGATAATTTTATTTTATTTCTAGGCTTTTCAATGATGACATCATTTTAACTCACAAAGCATGGGTTCACAATTTTTCCACTCTGTCTTAAAACGATAGAATTAAAACATTTTTTTGTTATTGTTCCTCCAGCTAATACTGGCAAGAGCAGTTGGGGTGATAGGATTATTTCTTTGCAAACATCTATTTCATCTGAAGCTAATATTAGGTTTCAGCAGTCTTACCAAATTAAAACCAGTGATTACATTGCAAAGTTAGTCCTTTTAGTATAAACTTCCTTCTTTGTGCTTCAACAGATGGTGTTACCTTGCTATTGCTTTTATTTCTGTCAGAGGAATTGTAAAACAAAGAGTGAAGTTTATACTAAGATTGTTGCATCAGGAAGGAATCACTTAATTGTCAGTATGAACAGGAGGAACGCCTGAATGTTGTTTTAAGACAAGTCAGTTTTATAACTTTAAGTAAACTGCTAACAACTACTAACTAAATAACACAAACAATAATAGCAAATTATTTTTCTATTTATCCTGTGTTTGATTAATCAATAATCACAATTCCTAGAAACAAAGAAGTTAAATGTTTCAAGGCTATGAGGGGGATGTTGGTGGATGTATTTATGTTGTTGTTGAATTTGGAAACACTAATGTGTTTCTCCACGTATAAAAAGAAGATTTCAGAGAAGACTGGCCAAGCACAGATTGATCTAGTCCAAATCTAATAAAAGAAACTGTCAGATGCATTGTCTCTAAGTCTAACATTCACAAACAAGACTAGGCACAAACAGCTCAGTAATGATGTTGAATGGAAGCCGAGGTAAAACCTAAAGCTATGAGAAAATAAGGGCACCCACCTGTTTTAGTCGGCTGGTTTTAAGTTTCTGATCTCTGTGTTTGTGTATGAGCAGTTGTAATTTTCATTTCCTTATAAATGAAACCGGGGGAACAGGCATTGCTAGTGGTTACAGGAAGGAAGTTTGTTTCAAACAGCAGAATCACTGACACAGCTTTATGACAATGCCTGCAAAGATAGTAGAGTTTGCACTGTTATTAACTACAGTTTGAACTAAATGGCTCCTGTAGCCAGGTGTACGTTGTATCCGGGTATGCGGCAGAACCCACTTGTGTCACTTATTATAGAAGTAACAAAAGAATAAAGCAGCAGAAAAAGAGATGTATAAACAACAAACTCAATAGTGACTGCAGCTGATAAACTGACAGAACGCTACATTGCTAAGCAACGCAGTAGTTGTTGATGCTGTATAGTGTTGCACATACTTGTCTGAATGTCACTCTGTATCTCATGCACCGCAAAGTCCTCCTTAATCTGCTCTAAATCTAGTTTCTCTGCTAGTTCTCACTGCAAAATATAACCAGTCCACTCTGCCTCTCTGTCTCATTGCGCTCCTCACAATTTAGGATTTAGTATTAGCCAGACCCGGCATGCACCTTTGGTCAAATAACATGGCAGGTATGCCTGCACGATATGAGGAAAATTTGCGATGTGCAATGACACTGTTAAATTTTACGATGACGATATTACTTGAGATAAATGAACAAATATTGAAGTGTGCATACAGTTTTGCTGTGCGAAGCTGAATGGGAAAACGCAGACAAAGGTCCTTCTCCCTCTGCTGCAGGTAACGTTGCTGGGGGGAGGGCTATAGCTTGGCCTATAGCTTGGCCTATAAGTTCACAAAAGTTTGTGGCAAATGAAGCCACAGTCTACCAACAAAGTTTTCCCTTTTAGCTTGTTTATAACCGTTCACTATTAGGTTAACGCTGCGCTCGTGTAAAACAAACCGCGGGGATGGAGATGTTGAAAATGTAGCTTTTCTCCGTGTGTAAATCTTGTCGAACAGGTGGTGTGATGAAGGACAGTAAATAAAATTTATTTTTTCTAATTCATCGTGTATTCAGCCGGTCTTTTGCGATGAGTTTATTGCCCAAGTTCATATCGTGATGATGTTTAAAATAAGCTTAATCAATCAGCACTAGAATTAACGCGCGTCTTCAGTGATCCGATCACAGTGGAGAGCTCCGTACGTCAGTTCACACCTGACTTTAAAATGCGTCTCCACATGCGTCTTGATTGACCACTTGTGATCGGATCTCACTTCCCCGCTTGATATGCAAATAACCCCGCCGTGCCCCTCTCTCTCGCTCGCTCGCTCAGTCCATAGACTGTAAATAAAGATGGACGTAGCCTCCGTGACGTCACCCAAGGGTTTCTGAAGGGTGGTTTTGAAGTTCAGAGTGGGCCGTTCCCTCATCGCTATCCAAAAAACTGTTTTTTGTACCAGGCTGTAAACATGTTTATTTCTGCTGTAAAGTTGGGCATTTTAACATGGGAGTCTATGGGGATTGACTCGCTTTTGGAGCCATTCAAGAAGTGCAGTTTTTGTTACTTCCGTGTCCACTTCATTTTTCAGCCTTGCATATAAAGCAGGGAAGTGAGATCAGATCACAAGTGGTCAATCAAGACGCATGTGGAGATGCATTTTAAAGCCAGGTGTGAACTGACGAACTGAGAGCTGTCCACTTGTGATCGGATCACTGAGACGGATGTTAATACCAGGTCTTAACAGGGCCTATGAAACACAAGTGGCTGGCTTGGCCTATAAGTTCACAAAAGTTTGTGGCAAATGATAGCAACAGTCTACCAACCAAAGTTTTCCCTTTTAGCTTGTTTATAACCGTTCACTATTAGGTTAACGTAAGCACGCTGCGCTCGTGTAAAACAAACCGCGGGGATGGAGATGTTGAAAATGTAGCTTTTCTTCATGTTTAAATCTTGTCGAACAGGTGGTGTGATGAAGGACAGCAAATACATTTTTTTTTTTCTAATTCATCGTGTATTCAGCCGGTCTTCTGCGATGAGTTTATTGCCCAAGTTCATATCGCGATGATGTTTAAAATAAGCTTAATCAATCATCACTAGAATTAACGCGCGTCTTCAGTGATCCGATCACAGTGGAGAGCTCCGTACGTCAGTTCACACCTGACTTTAAAATGCGTCTCCACATGCGTCTTGATTGACCACTTGTGATCGGATCTCACTTCCCCGCTTGATATGCAAATAACCCCGCCGTGCCCCTCTCTCTCGCTCGCTCGCTCAGTCCATAGACTGTAAATAAAGATGGACGTAGCCTCCGTGACGTCACCTAAGGGTTTCTGAAGAGTGGTTTTGAAGTTCAGAGTGGGCCGTTCCGTCATCGCTATCCAAAAAACTGTTTTTTGTACCAGGCTGTAAACATGTTTATTTCTGCTGTAAAGTTGGGCATTTTAACATGGGAGTCTATGGGCATTGACTCGCTTTTGGAGCCATTCAAGAAGTGCAGTTTTTGTTACTTCCGTGTCCACTTCATTTTTCAGCCTTGCATATAAAGCAGGGAAGTGAGATCAGATCACAAGTGGTCAATCAAGACGCATGTGGAGATGCATTTTAAAGCCAGGTGTGAACTGACGAACTGAGAGCTGTCCACTTGTGATCGGATCACTGAGACGGATGTTAATACCAGGTCTTAACAGGGCCTATGAAACACAAGTAGGCGGCCCTTCAGTGTGGCCCAGGATGCATTTGCGTTTACACTGCTAAAAGAATGTGGACACATGTGACCCAGACCACCTCAGATTCAGTCTGACAATATTTGACTCGTTTTCCCATTAATGTAGTTACTTATTATTTGTAATATAAAATTAATACTAAATTGAATTTGCCTGCCACAGTGTAACGTATATAATTGCATATAACTGATGCTTTCAACACGCAAGCACAGAGACAGAGAGACAGAACACGTCATTTAGTTCAGTGTCTGATGCTGGTGCTTTATATGTTGGTAAATAGAACTCAATGAGGGACACACTCGCTTTTTTGGTCACTCCTCCTTCTCTCTCACCCATAGGATAACATAACGTTAACCTAACACACAGGTGTAGTGCAGCCAGAGCCAGCAGAACAACGCTCCAATACTTTTTTCCCCCAGAGGAAATAAAATATCCACAGTTCACATAATCCGGTTTATTTACACACACACATTTTAAGCACTTGAAGATCTGATCATCACTAAAGCCTTTAGAGAACTAATAAAAACAAATGAAATAGTCAAAGTTGTCGTATTGACATTTAAGGTGTCAATATGCAATCATGCATTGACTAACGGCAAGAAAACATTCAGGTGTGTTTGATCTGGGACACTTGCCGTGGTCGTCGGGTGGTGCATCAAATCAGCAGCTTCTTCTCTGCTGCTGATTTGACTCTTCATTTGTTGCGTTCACACACAGTTAATCATAACTTCATCATGTGACTTTTGTTTTTACTCGGGAACGATTTCATATTTAAATGTAGCAAAGTTAAGACATACTAAGAAATGGTAAAGTTACTGATTTTGAAAATACTCCCAAGAGTACAAGTACACAAAGACAGTACAAAGACTTTGTTAAAGAAACGTGAGTAAATGTAATTCGTTACTTCCACCCCTGGTAACAGTTAACTGCAGAATGAAGCATAGCAATGTTTCTCTCAGATATATGCACTAGTCTAGAACACAGGACCTTCTTCCTGTATTTAATGTCTTACTCCTGCCTCAGACAACATCTGACCAACAAGAAAAGTGAACGTTTTCACATGGTTTGTAGCAGTGCATTTTGGTTCACTTGGATTTCTGTCTCTGTAAAAAGAAACTTAACCAAGGGGAAAATGCTCAAGTTCACAAAGTTATCAACTGACCTCAGACCAGAGCAAACAAGTTATAGGTGCAAAAACACCCTGAAATAAATTACACTGCCTGATTGGGCTGAACCAAAACCCTTAAGACTCCCAGCCCTTCATGACAGTGATTTTTCAGTACTTGATCATTCATCACAGGCATGTCATAATAAGCGTACATGTCAATATTAACTGAACAGTGTTTACAAAATAAACTAATATAATACACAATTAATTAAACATATGGATTCAAAACAAAGCATACAACAGGATAATAGAGCAACCTGTTGCCGTCAACCAGGTGTACTGAGCTGTCATAACAGCCTGATTCTCACTCATCTTAAGTCCCGCTGGTTTCCTGGTCATCATCATTGAAAAGCATTTCCATCACAATTTGGTTTAGACAATATCTAGGAACATGTTCTTGTCATCTTCTCATACCTGATGATAAATAAATGACAATCCCAATGACAAATAACAAAAAAATCAATAAATAACTAACACAAGTACAGATGCATGTGCCGTTGTCTGAAGTATCAGCAAAATCATGGGCGTTTTGTGTGTTTTCTGAAAAGTTGACAACGAAATCAGTGTCTGTGTTTCTTCTTGCCGCATGCTGAGGTCTGTAGTTGAATTGGTTAGAGGAGTACTTTTCCTGGAGCACAATAAACAGCAGCAGTCCAAGGCAAGCAAGTTGACCGCATGTGTTTCTGATGTCCTGTAATTGGAAGTCATCAGCGTTTCCTCCAAAGCGATCTCTTAGATATGTGAGTGACCGCTGGTTTTGTCCTACAGAAAACTCTCTGATTTCTCTTAAAAGGTGAATACTGATCTCGTACGTCTGAGCTGGATCATAATGCTGTGTGAGGTACACTCTGTCTATTCTCTGCCATCCTGTGTTCTGCTCCCTAACTCTGAAGATGATCCGGTCCCTGTTTGTTCCTGCATATCCTGCGGGGGGATCGACGACATAATCTGGAAGTTCCTCAGCAGTGTTTTCATAGAGATTGCCAACAGTGTAGTACTGGTGTGCGGGAGGTAGTCGGTCCAGCAGCTCCTCATAGTTGCCATAATGGTGTGAGCCATAATCTCTGTTTGGATCAAAGGTTAAATGTATGACATTGTTTCTGTCAATTTCAACAATGTTGGCAAACCAGTGGAGCAGCAGGAGACTGTGCTTGGGCAAAGATTTGCCAAAGTTGATTTT